ACCTTATCACAACATTCAATAGTAATAGTTCTTAAATTGTTAAAAGCTGTGTCTCTGAACCGGCCTTGAAATATCTTCTCCAAATTAATCAAATTCTGGAGAAATAATACTTCCAAGCTGGGAAATGCATTGAAAGAAACCCCCTCCGCTGATTTAATGATATGTTGAACCTCTGGAGCATTACGGACATAGAGACGCTTCGAATCTGGAAAACCTCCTGTATTTAACTCATCTACCACATTCTCTATACCTGCCAACTCCCTTAGATGTAGCTCTTCAGTCTTCTTCAACAACATTTTAACTAAATCGTTAGCATTAATGGATGTATTTAAATGCAACTTCAATATTCTTGAGCTTCCAAAGGATCTATATTGGTCTTCCCACTTACTCCCAATGAATATTTTGAATTTTTTCAAATTTTCAAAGAACATATCTTTTGGGATCATCCCAATATCAGGAATGCATACCTCTAAACTAGTCAATTTCTTCAAATGCTTCAACTCAGCAAGGCTCGCATTCCTTTGATTTTCATTTTCCTCAACCTCCCATCCGTGGAAGCTGTTTCTCAGGTACAGTTCCTCTAATCTGGACATATTTGCCAAGACACATGGGGGAATTATTTTGAGTTTAGTACAGTTACTCAAATCTAATAACTTTAGCTGAGTCAACTGCCCAATTTCCCCTGGAAGCTCTTCAAAATCAGATCTGAAAAGGCTAAGAATTTCTAAATTCTTCAACTCTCCAATAACACGTATGTCCCTCAACACGCTTCGATCCAAACATAATGTATGGAGGTTCTGCAAGAGGCAAATTGATGAAGGCAGGGATGACATATGCATGCAAGTCAAATCCAATACCTTGAGTCTTGGCATTCCCTTGAAAAAGTTTGCTGGAATTTGCAGAGAAGGATTTTTATTCTCCAACAAAAAGAGAGTAAGACAGCGGCTTTCTAACTCTTCAGGTAACCCATCAACATTAGAAGATCGCAGACAAATCCATTTGAAATCTTTCCTTGTCTCCATGTCTGACCACTCCCTTGGTACATGATCCCCTGTTAGCAGCAACCCATGACGATCCCTACTTGTAATTGATACAGCCACATCATGGATAAGGTCATGCATATCAAAACTATCATTGTCATAATCATCAATAAGCAAAGAAGAGGCTCTGAGCTTGCTTATCAAAGTAAACACTTCATCTCGTGCTTCCTCTATGGTGTTAGCAAATAAGCCTAAGCCTACACCATACGTCAACAAGTCTTCAATTGAGGCCTTGTGACCCAGTAGGCAGCAAAGCAAAAATGTTTTCTTGAGCTTCTCACTTTCCAAACTAGAGTAACTGACCTCAATAGCAGAATAAACATTTGCAGATATGCCATCAAAGTTTTCTGAAGAGGGCTTTCTTAGTTTTCTCAAAGCATCCCTCCATTCAAAAGGCTTCTTATTTTTCAAAGCCTTTGCAATTGTTGTAATTGCAAGGGGCAAGCCCCCACATTCCCGGACAATCTCAATGGCCGTACCGTGTAGCTCCTCACTCTCTGCTCTGTCACCAACTGCCTTTTTAAGCAACTCCCATGCTTCTCCAGATTCTAATTGATGAAGTGAGAAGTTCAGTGGAGAATCCATCAGATCTGATAAAACATCAGAATCTCTGGATGTCATCAGAATTTTGCATTCTACACCTTCTTCTCTTGACGAGCTCCCCTCAATCTCTTTTGGCTCGTTTCTAAGAGGAATTCCAAGCTCCTCCAAATCTATTCCAGGCACCCAAATATCATCCAAAATGATTAAAACTTTCTTCATTTTCTTCAGCCTTTCTTTAATACGTTCAGCCGCATCCTGAGTTGTAATTCCATTAGGAAGCTGATCCAGACCCAAGCCACGGGCAATTTCAACTTGAATCTTTTTCAAGTCTACATTCCTTGTAACAAGAGCCATAACTACCGCATCGAACAGCTTGTCTTGCTCTGCTTTTCTTTGAACTTCTTTGGCCAGCATCGTCTTCCCCAAGCCTGGCATGCCGTGCACCCCTATAATGCTGCTGCTTTGACTTTGCAGTGCCTCCATGATCCTCTCCAGAACATC